TGACCATTCCTTTGTATTGCTTGCTAGCTATGGGACTTAAACTGGCCAATGACTGAATGGCTGGAAGGCTGTTGGTTCTTTAGCAAATATAAAATTCAGTGAAACCAACTATTGGCACCCACAGTATTGGGTTAGTGGTTACAGATCCTTATGCCCTCATCCTGTACAGCACCAGTCTTTGACCTCTTTCTTGGTTGACGTCTAAGTGCCTCAGCCTTGTAGGACTAGGAGGCAGCATAGATGAGGCCCACCACAAGGTATAACTCATCTTTACAGAGATCTTTTCTTTCTTCCTCTTCTAAAAGTTAAAAGCAACACATTTACTCTCAAGTGGCAGTTGGATTGTCCTTTGGCTTTAGGCAAATTTATGAGGAAGATAACCTTATAGTCATCTGGCTTTGAAGAAGAAAAATAGAGCAACTGTCAAGATCTGTATCTAACAGTTTAGCTAATCTCTTAGCAGTCAGCCATGAATAATGGGAAGGTTAGATAGCAAGTGACTTCCAAGAATGCCTCATTACCCCTGTCTTAAGTGGTTTAGTTGTAATAACTCACTCTTCATGACTTTAACCACAGTTACAAGGATTTCCATTTTACAAATGAGGCAATTGAGGCATGGACAGGTTAACTAATTTTTCCAAAGTTATTCAACATATAAATGGCAGAACTTAGATTGAATCCAGATAATGTGGCTAAACAGGTTGTTCTCTCATCAAAATATATGGCATTCTATGCCATTTTAGTTTTACATATACTATGATCATATTATGAAAAATAATTTTTGCTAGATGTATCTCATTCTAAAACTCACGGGTCACAGTGAATGTGGATATCTCTATTTGTTTCCTTTAATTAATGTTCCCAATACTGCTGACCACTGTTCTAAGCACACACACACACACACACACACACACACCACATAATTATAGGCCTGAAGGAGCCACACAACACTAGTTCCTGAAATAAACTAGTTCTACTTACCTTGTTCCCCCCATTTTTCTGCCTCTCTCAAGAACAAAGCCATGTTCCATTTGGCATATATATCAGCTTATATGAGCAAACAAAGTAAAACAAAATAGAAGTGCAAGGCAACTTCTAATGCCAAGTATCATGGGCTTCTTGCTCACAGATAAATGACACTGCCATCCTCTTTTCCCTCAGACATGGGTAGAAAACTGAGTTTCTTTGTTAATAAGATAGCTATTTCTAAGATCACTGAGTTCACGAAAGAAAAGTGCTGGATGATGCTTATTCAAAAGCTAACACAAAGAAAGCCCAACAAAAGAAGGAAAACATTTTAGACTTCACAGAGACCTTCATTTTTAAAGCTCAGAAATAATCAGGCAGCTAGAAAGCTTTTGAAACACTGAGTCTCCTGGAGAAGAAATGGAAAACTGGAAGAGTTAGTTCGGTAACAGCACAGTGGAATGAGGACATGCAGCTCCTAATTCCCAGTCACAATTCACTCATCCTAGACAAAGAAGACTACAATGAGGGTAACCTCACCATTCTGTTTCTTGTTCCCACTTAGAAATTGCTATGGCTTTCTCTTTGTGCTGCTGTACTGCCTCTTTGAAAATTCTCTACCACCAGAAAAGCAGATAGATCCTTGAAGAAGCCGAATTACAGAGCCTAAGGCCCAGCAGGTTTGGGGACCAGACCACTGGATACTTCCACGACTCCATCATTTACCAGCCTGTGAGCATAGGCACACAGCTATGTCTTCAGCTTCAGCTTCTTGGGAACAATATTGAATATGATAAGACTAACCACATAATAATTTGGTACTGAAGTATGTAAGTTAAGTGCCTGACACAGTAGGTAATAAAAAAGGAGATTTATTATGGCCAGCATGTATTTCTCTAATTTATCTGTTAACAATCTTCTTTTTTCTTCATTCTTCAAATCACTGCATATGTAAGCCCTAACATGACTACAAATGTGTGCTAATTTAAAAATGATTATGAGATGTGTCAAACATGCAGAATAGCATAGAAAATAACATACCACCACCAATACAGTGCTTGCTGGGTGTGGTGACACACACTTGTAATCCCAGCACTTAAGAGGCTGAGGCAGGAGGATAGCAAGTTTGAGTCACACTGAGGCAAACTAGCAAGACCCTGCCTCAAAAATTAAAATACAAAAAGGGCTGGAGATGCAGCTCAGTGCAAAGGCCCTGAGTTCAATCTTCAGTGTCCCCCAAATATACAATGCTATTTGACATATTTTTAAACTTTATTATAAATAGTATCAGATCGTCCATATCATTTTATAACTCACCTCTCCCAGATTCTCTTTTTGAGATTTACCCATGTTCATATACGTAGCTTTGCACATTACTTTAAGTATTTTATACCATTTGATTGTAGGAACCTACCATAATGTATTTCTACGTTCTCCTACTGATGGAAATTTAGATTGTTTTCAGTTTTTCACTATTATGGCAACTACTGCAACAGACACCCTTCTCATGTGTGCTTCATGTGCTTCTTGGAGTAGCCGTGGGAGAGTTTCTCCAGGGCACAAATCCAGGGAAGAATTGCAAGTTTCATAAGATAGGTCCATCTTCAACATTGCTAGTCATTATCCAATTGTGTTCCCAACATTGGGGCATTTTGCTGTTGTTTTTGCTGGTGTTTTTGCTGGTGTGCCTTTTTAGGTTCTCCATCAAGATACAGTTTATTTAACATAAAATTTATTATGTAACTCAATGGCTTGTAATATGTTTGCAGAGTTTGGCAACCATCCCCACAACCTAATCTTAGAATATTTTCATGACAGTGTTATTTATAGTTATAAATATGCAGAAATCAATAAAGCTGGTTATGTGTTCTCTACAATATACCCATGGAAATCCCCTAGGAGGAGCAAGTTTATAGAGTTTTCTTTGTTTTAAGTCTGAAGTTTGAATAGATAGCTGGAAGGAACATTCCTAATTAGATTATAAAACTGCTTAAGTGCAGGTTCCTGTTATTTGCTAATAAAACCTTTATTCCTATTTATTCACCACACAGTAAAATGACTCAGAACTCTATCTGAAGAGAATGAAAGGAATTCTACACCAGATAAAGGAGAGATTTCCCCAGAACAATTCTTAATCATGCCAGAAGAAATGGGAGGTTTGAAGGAGGACAGATGTAGATGTAAATAGCTGTGAAGCCAGCACACTGGCAAAGGAGAGGGAGGGCAACCATCTTATAATTTTTTCCAAGTTAACGTGTTGAGGTTTTGTCAAATAATTTTCATACTCTAACTTATTATTTAATGGTACTTAACAAATATGACTTACCCCAATTCAAACTTAATGTGTTGACAGTGAAGACTGCCAAATATAACTTAAAATTATATATGAATGTTGTTCTTACCCAGCCACTAAATGTTTAAAATTCATTCAATCTTTCCACTTGGATTTCATAAGAAACACCAGGTTCACGGACAATGTTGGTGTCGTAGGTTGCCTTTTAGTCATTAGTGTAAGGGCCTCAATTTCCAGCTGCTACAGTTTGATTTCATCAGGTACTTGGCAGCTTTCTAAAATTTTCTCTGTACCCTTCCAACCACCCACAAATAGGAAAGGTGCAGTCATGCACTGTGACCTAAGACTGAAAAGGAAGAAAGCTGCTGAGGCAGCGCTGATTGCCAGGGCAGACACATTGAACCCTGCCTCACAGAGGCACGGCCATGGCAACAGCTTCTCACAAGCCTCAGGGAAGCTGAATTTCACCACAGACCAGCAAACTTCACCCAGAATTGGAAACAGCCTGACTCAAGAGTGTGACATTATTTCTTTATCCACCCAGAGATTTATCTAGATTACAATTTTTTAACCTATAGTTTGCACAGGTAAAGAATCTGAGCCATCCAACACCCTGCAACACCAGGGCCTCAACTCAAATTCCCCAGCAATGTGGCTGTGAACATCACTTTAATCTCTTTCTTGCAGAATCCTCTGCTGGGCAGAGAGAGGGCTTGCAAAACCTCACTGTGTGAACATTGTGTAATAGCTACCTGAAGATGAAGACATTGGGCTTTTTCAGGCTTTGGAACACCACCAACACTCAGCAGCCAATGGAGTTCAGGAATGAGCTGCAGTGGGTGACAAAGCCCAAGGAAGTTGTTTCTAGTAATCAGTGGCATCACACCCTAGACAGTAAAGAGATTGTGTGGGTCTGCTGAGGCCCAACTAATGCCTTGGGACTTGCAAAGGTGAAGGATAGGCAGTGAGGTATAAAAAAGGCCTGAATTGCCTTGGCAAGGATAACCCCAGCAAACAGTCTGTTGGATTCAGGGTAGAAAGCAAGTGAAATGGAAAAGAAGGACCAAAGCAGATCCAAATTTTGCTTCTTTCCCTTTTTGCCAAGCCCAAGGAGAACAGGCCAAACTTTAGCTTCTTCCCAAGTGAGGCAGAATAATCTGGGAGTTGTTGAGCCCATAAACAATTTAAATTAAATGGATTAAACCCTCTCACCTGAACTCAGATGTTACAGAAAATCCATATAAACCATTGTTCCCTGAAGTGGTTTCAAAGCAGGCACTACCAGACTACTCAAAATGGAAACTCCTCAGCATGTGGCAGAATTACCCAGAATTTCTCCATGTGTGTCTATCTATATGTAGGTATGTGGACATAAGTACATGATCATGACAAAGTCCAAATCTTTACCTCTTTTCAACTTCAGCTTATCTATTTGATAATCCCTTCTCACAACTATTAATAACTGTTAATTCCTTTCTCTCTTTCTTTTTTTTTTTGGTACTGGGAATTTAACACAGGACCTTGTACTTGCCAGGCAGGTGTGGCACCACTGAGCTAAATCCCTGGCCCCACAGCTGTTAATTTCAACAATTATTCAACACTTAACATTTTTCTTTATCCCCCCCAAAATTTGAATTCCAAATTGGATGATGCTCTCTGGAGGAGTACAGATTGATGCTTCTTTTCAAAACACTTTTCCAAAATTTTCACTTCATTAGAAATAATCAAGGGTAGTCAAGGGTAAAGAATAAAAACATTTATTTAAAAATATCATACAGCATCAATTTCAGTTTGGCAAGTATGAAGGATGGGTGGTTAATGTTTTATTATTACATGAAATTTGAGATACAGGAAGCATTACAGCAAAAAAGTGAATACTAAAACTGAGAATGAATCTGAGTAGTATGCTACTATTACAAAAAAGGATGTTAAGGTTAAGAAAATGTTTCCAGGTGATGAAAATAATCTCTTCCAATAGTGTTACAGAACAGGAGGTCTGCGTCACACACATAACCACAAACATTCTAGTTTGCAGTTATGAAGATGTGAGTTGAAAAAAGATATGAGCAGATCCCAGTAGTAGAAGGGGACTCAGAAAGGTGGGGATAAGATGAAAAAACAATTATAAAGAGTGTCTTTTCTTGGAGGTCCCTATAAAAAGCATATTTTTAAAAAATTGAGTAAACGTGTACAAACTTTATCATGACTGTAAAAATATAGTAGACAGGATTAAAATCAAGTTCTTACACAAAAACATTCTTTCACTGTAAGCATATATAAAGCCTTGTGCAACTATTATATATCACCTTATAAAATTCTATCTCTTTGATTGTTCCCTTTTCTGCTTCCCAGCTTTTCACATCCTGGAAAAGGACAAAAGCCTTCAGAGATCCATTAGTCCAACTCTTTAATTTCACAGATGAAGGAGAGCAAGAAGCTCACCCAGTATCACCTTCATTCCCCGCGGCAGAGATTGGACTAGAATCAGGTCTCTTGCCCCCTGGCGGGTGCTTTTCTCATTACATGACATGCCTTCTCTGCCCTGTCCCAGATCTGTGCTTCATGGCACTTCCCCAATCTCAGATGGGCAGAAGGGCTGTGAGAGAAAGAAATAGATATGTTTGGGGCCTGTCTGGATTGTTATGAGCCTAGGGCACTAGAAGAGGAGGTGATAAAATACATCTCTTCCTTCTACCATAAGTCTTCAAAGATAATCCATAACATGCACACACACGTAGGGCAGTAGAAGAGAAATATTTCCTGAGTAGAGCACAGTGTGCGAGGGAAACTTTTTAAAGGCTGTAAGAGAAGTTACTGATTTTAAAGGAGAACATATGGGTAATCACCCACAACCTACACTTCTCAGAAGCTCTGAAAATAAAACCCTGGTTACAGACGATGCCTAACATGGAGAGCGTCAGACTGGGGCACATCTCCGTGGCCTCCCTAGTTGCCTGCTACGAGTCCCACCAGTCCATGAATTCATAACTACCATAGGATCAAAGGGCTGCTAATCAGCAGGACCTGCTTCCAAACATGCAAATTCCAGCAGAAAATATATTTGAGTGGATTCTTTGAAAAAGCACCACCGTTCTCACATCTACTTCTGATTTCACTTCATCAGCTTTCTAAATGCTCTATTCTAGCAATGCATATTTCTGGGTGACAGTATCTGGAATACTTTGCTACAACAGTAACAAGAGGGGCCTCAAGAGTGAGAGTGGTTAGACCTCTTCGGGCCATTTTCTTCTTCGTTTCTTTGAGAACAAAATTGATCACATTTTAAAAAGTCTGTTATTCTCGTTCAAGGTTCAGTGCAAGGAACACAAAGTGAGAGCATCCTTTGTCATAGCCATGAACTAGGAAAACTGTGAGAGGAAAGTTGAACCTCCAACAACCTCGAGTTTACTGAAACACTGCACATTATCATAGTTCTACAGATTGTCCAGCAGAAATGAATCTTTCCTGTGCTCCATCAATTTCTATAAGAGTGAGCTCCTTTTTATCCGGACATTTCTTAGAAATTGCTTTTTACCAGATTAATGATTTACATAGCTTACAAAACAGAAGCCACCCATGTGTTGTATGCTTCATCTTGGGCAATAAATTGCCTTTGGACCTTATTTCTTGTTTCTTTCCATATAGTTTGTTGTGTCTTATACACAGAGTCCTGAAAAATTCTTTCTACCTGTGTAGAAAAGCCACGACTTTCCTCTTCTAAGGCATTGATGGTTTGCAGAGCGAAGGGAGTCCTTTCTCGGGGAAGGGGGTTGTTCAGGGGCCGCATGGGTATAACAGAGTTGTATTTGTGTTGCCTGTTCACAGAATTCATGAGGGATGTGTAGAACTGGAAATTACACCAAGTGTCTCTCAAAAAGTTTTCAGTAAGTAATAAGATTGTCCATGCAGACCCATTCACGGCGTCATCCAAATTCTGCAAATGCTGCCTGCCACCTGGCATTTCGGCAAAGATTATTCCAGGCTTGATACCAAAGTCATTCTGTAGCAGTTCCTGGACTCTCAGGGCTTCATCTGTATCATCTTCTGTGTGCAGTATCACAAATTTGAGGAACACCTCTTCTTCTGCTTCCCCTTCAGGACTCTCTTCTCCAACCTCCGCTCCCTCTTGCTCTCCTGTCTGCTTCTCTGTAGTATTGCTCTGCTCCACAACGTCGCACAAGGAGACAATTTCAGCCTTCCTGGACTCAGGCTCGAGATGGCCTTGACTTGTATCCACACTGTGACTTTTACCCCAAGAGAAACAAAGAGGGAAGTTGTGTGTTTTAGACTTCCCAATACCCATGATATATGTCCAAGACTGAAAGCTTTATTTATTTCTAAGCATTTCTTTCCAATCTAAAAAAAAAAGAATATTGAAAATTTAATTGGAACATTAAAAATGAAAAGTTTTGTCTAATTTGAAAAGCTCACAAAGACTGTAACACACAGATACTAAGAAAGAAATGACAAATAGGCATTTGGGAAGCCAAACTACTCGCCTTCTGAGAGCTTCACAAGGGCTTGCACAGGCAGCCTTGGTGAGTTAGACAGAAGGTCCAGTGTAATGTATGAGACATGCAGAGATTCAGAATGGTATCATATTATACCACAAGCTTCCAGGTTAAAATAAAATACTTCAATATTTTAGTGAAAAGCACACACACCATTCTATCCATATGGTGTTTAAATCTAAGATCCCTCATCAAATTACTGTATAAACTAGAAAGAGGAAAATCTAAAGGTATAGAATATTCAAATAGAAGGATGAATTTATTTTTGTATCAAACACAAACAAAATAGGATGCAATATCCTAAAGATGACTGACAGCAGCTCTATTGACTCAGTATGAAGAGAAGATCTGCAATGTATAACGAAATGATGCCCAGGATTTGCTGGCTCAGAGATTTTTGTCTGGTCTGGGCTCAGGCATTATTGTGGTGGTAGAACTGGTGGAGAAGAAATTATAATTCGGATGCGTAAAAAGTAGGGAATATCTTTTTCCATCTAACCCTAGAAATACTGAAGAAGATATATTTATTTACCTGTGATACAAATTTATAACTTGGTTTGGAAGCAAAAAAATCTAGAAACTAAGACTTTCAATTTTCTCCAGTGAAGTCAACAGATGATATAGTCTAGACTGTTTCATCAAAAACTCTTAAGTTTAGAGTGAAAGAATTAGATCAGCTGTGAAAGATAATATGCCATGCAAATCTAATTTAAATAGCTTTTCAGAAAATGTTGGTAATGTCATTAATAATGACCCAAATAGGCCATGGGGGGGGTCTTATATCAAAACACAGAAAATTTAGACTAGATAAATATGGCCTTCATATTTTCAAATATGAGCCAAGGCTATATTCCAGAGCATTTTTACTTATTGTCTATCAGGAAAGACAAGAGTTCAAAAAGCAATTACAATTATATTAAGAATTACAGTAAGTAACACAGACACATACACCTAAAGAATTCACATTTAGAAGATACTGTTTAACAGAAGTGGTGAGAGGTGTTATGTTAGGAGAAAAGTAAGGAAATGGGGCAGATTGCTGCTGTCTTTGACTAGTGAAGGAACCTCTGGGCACCACCTGCCATTCACTATGTCTGTACTTTAGGTTGCATTGTCCTAGTTATATTGTCCATGTTATATTGCCCTAATTATTAACAAGAGGTATTCCAAGACATGCTAATTCTAAAAATGTGATGTACATAACCCCAGATAACAAAATAGTGAATTAGAATCCCCTTCATTGTTTAGAATTCACTGCTGACTTTTGTTACTGCGCTATAAGAAAGGTTCTGCGAATGAAGCTGCAAATGATGATTTCCCTGCATAAGAAGACAACTGCTGCACCCCTCAGGTGCATCTGTCTCTGTATTTCAATGAAAAGGGTCTTCATCTATTCTTGAAATAGGTTTGCCATAGCAGTTCATCATTCTTAATCACCAGTGGGTGCAGACAAATATACTGGATGTTCATGAAATCTATCAAACATTTCTAAGATAAAATGGTGTTTCAAGCCAGATCACAAATTATTTTGAAATAAAAATGAAAAAAATTACTTTGTCTTATTTTCTTAAATACTATACCAGTAATCAAGAAAGGGAAGGTTGCAGAAATCTGTGATATGCTGTGCCAATTTCCAAACCACCTAATCCAAACAGAGAGAACAGTTAGTGATAATGCCTGAAAAACATCACTGTAACCTTCTAATTCAAACAGGGAGAGTAAGAAGACAGCCAAGAGGAAAAGACAGGGAAGCCTACGTGCTGAAGATCCACCTCTGCTACTGTGACTGTGGCTCGAGCCTGGTGAGATGGTTAGGATGCAACCTTTTTCTCAGGGCTAGAAGAAGGGAGAGGACCTCATTGTGCTTGTTCTGAGCCAGCAACTGCCAATCAGTGAGGCTTCACTAGAGCAGGAGGAAGGCTTGAAGAGCTGACGGAAACAGAGGTTGGCAAAAAGCCGGGAAAGCCTGGAAAGCCTCCTTGAGCAGCTCTGCCTCCTGGGACAGTCAGAGCCAGGCTTGAACACTGAGGTTTTACCAGCAGTGCAGGAGCTAAATGGGAGGGAGGGGGTGACACTGGGGAGCGGCACCCAGATCTGTTCACAGGGATAAAAGTGTGTGTATACATTTTAATTTACTTTTTAAAAAAGTGGTTGAGACTCATAATGACATTGAAAAGATTTTGAAAAGTCTCACTCTCACCCTCTCCCCATCCATCCCGGCCCCACCTCCCTGACTTTCTACTGGTGACTACATTTTTGGTTTCTCCTATGTCCAGTCATTGTTTCTTATGACTTCTCTCTCTATATATATATTCTTATTTTTCTTTCACTTTTTAGAAAGAGTGTCATCATTCATATATATGCCAAGCACAGTAGATTATATCCTCAGAGTTTTTACGTCAGCACAGAGGACTTTCTCACTCTTTTTTTGCAGCTACATTATTTCCCAGCATATGGATGTACCATAACTTGTTCCCTGTTGTTGGGTATGTAGCTTATTTTCCTACTACTACTATTACAAATGAGTCTACAGTGAACAACTTTGGTACAAAAGTCATCTTATATATGTGCAAGTTCATCTGTAGAATAATTTCCCCAGTGAGATTTTATATTAATTTTTAATAGTAACAAAGGTGGCCAAATTACCCTCTGTAGGCCTGAGCCATCATTTTTGCTTTTAGTGTGATATGATGATGCTCACCTCTACTCCTTGTCCCAGGAAAGATCTAAGACCAAAGATACCAATTACTGTTGACCAAAGCTCCACCAAGCTAACCACATCCCCTCAAGAAGAAAAAAAATGTGGAAAACATAATCTGTCAGGATGGAACTCTTAGACTGAAGTTCTGGAAGGAAGATCAATAGCTCTGAAATAAAAAGAAAATAGAGTCTAGAAAGTATCTATTTTAGATCCAGGCAAAAAGTGGCCCTAATACAACTCCCCACCTTAAATAATGGTAGGGCTAGGGGTGATCAGTGGTACAGCACTCGCCTAGCATGGGCAAGGCCTTGAGCTAGATCCCTAGTAGCAAGCAAGCACATACATAAATAAATAAATAAATGATGAGTGAAAAGAACACCATTATGGCAAGTATTTAAAAAAATTACAGGAAGCACAACAATCGACAGAAGAACCATACCATCCAAAAAACAAATTAAAAATTTCAGCCTCACTAAGGCAATGTACTCTTGAATCAAACTGCCAGCAGGCAAAGGGCAGAAATGGAGATGGGCAGGAGAAGAAGCAGAGGGGTAACAGCATCTGACTAGCTCTCACAGGCTCGCTCTGGTGCTGCACTGAGGACAGAATGAAGGGAAGTTAGTGCAGAAGTGAGAACACTAGCTAGGGACGGTGGCAGAAATCCAGTGGAAATAATGGTGGCCTGGGAGAGGTTAGCAGCAGAGGAAGCAGTGACAAGGAGCTGGATTTGAGATGTGTTTCAAAAGAAAAATGGGGAGGGTTTGCTGATAATGAGCAGGCCTCGAATGTGGAGTCTGAACTATGCAGGAGAGGTCTAGCCAGGAAACATACAGCTGGCATTTATCTTTATATAGACTATATTTTAAATTGAGAGACTTCATGAGATCATTAAAGGAAGGAATATGGATAGAAAAAAGAAAGTGGTCCTAGGACTGAGTCCTAGGGCACTCCAACATCGCAGAGGTCAAGAACAGAAAGAATCGGAGGTCGTGAGTCGCGTGGAACATGCCGAATCAGCCAGCCGCAGACAGGCAGGTCTGCAGATGCCCTACCGAGGTCTCGAGTCATGGCGAATCAGCCCCCGCTCCCGGCAGCAATCCACTGGACACTCCCACCCCCTGGTCCTCTGTACAGCCACCTGGTTCCACACTACAAAGACGCAGAGGACACCATACCACCAGACCACTGTACTGGGTCCCGCCACTCCCGGCCCAGAGGTAGGGGCTTCTGAGCTGCCCTCCCAGGGCTCCTGGTCCAGAGGAAGGGGCTTCCTGGCCACCATCCCTCCCACTGCTCCTAGCCCAGAGGAAGGGGCTTCTGGGACACCATCCCTCCCCTCACTCCCAGCCCAGAGGTAGGGGCTTCTGAGCCACCGTCCCACTGCTCCTGGTCCAGAGGAAAGGGCTTCCTGGCCACCATCCCTCCCACTGCCCCCAGTCCAGAGGAAAGGGCTTTTGGGGCGCCTTCTGTCCTGCTGTTCCGGGCCCAGAGGAAGGGACTTCTGGGCTACCCTACCACTGCTCCCAGCCCCTGTTCCACCTCTCCCAGCTCAGAGGAGGTGATACTCGCGGGCGCCAATGGCAACTCCTGCCCCCCCTCAAGTCGAAATGAGAAAACACGTAAATAAGTCTCAAAACCAGACTTCCAAATCACCTACAGCAACCCCAATGGGAAATGAGATGGAACACTCTGATACTCAACCACCTGGACTCCCTGAACTGGCAACAAAAGGGGATCTGGTAAAAATGAAATCAGAAATAATTTCTCAGATAACAACAGAGATTGTGCTCCTAGTGCAAGACATGATTAATAAATCTAGAGAGGAGCTGAGGAACATGATGGAATCCCAACATAGGA